ATCTCTCTCTCTCTCTCTGTATATATATATATATATATATATATATATATATATATGTATATATATATATATATAATCTATTTATGGTTTCTGGTTGGAAATGGGATTACTTCAGATGGGATGGTCTTGGAGTTCATAATCCCCCATTGCCTATACAGTTAACAAATCTCACTAGTACATTATTATTTATACTATTTACAAAGTGTACACAAACACACACACACTCTCTCTCTCTTTGTGTGTGTGTGAGTGTATTTCTCCTGCTATCACTATTTATTATTTATTATCACTATCACCAAATAATAATAATAATAATAGTAATAGTAGTAACAACAACACCCCATATCAAGAAGAATAAACGAAATAGAAAGAAATAAAACAATTTAGAAAGAAAAAAGAAAAAAAAAAGAAAAGAGGATAATGGCCTCTGTACATGTATTAGTTGGTCAATGTGGTAATCAACTTGGAAAAACATTCCTTGATGGTCTTGTAGATGAAGTACATGCCAGTAAAGATGATCACTTCGCAGCTCAACTCTCATCTATGCATTTCCGCCCATCCCGATCGTCACTTCCACACCCACGTTGTGTAATGATTGATATGGAACCCAAAGTTATTAACTCCACTCTTCAAAGTACAGATGCGGCTGGACAATATACAGTCCAATCTCCACAGTATATTACTCGACATTCCGGTAGTGCGAATAACTGGGCTTGTGGATATTATACACATGGGAATCAATGTAAATCTAACATTACAGAAGCCCTTCGTCGTGAGAGTGAAGTGAGTGGAAGTGTTCGTACTTTTCATGTTCTTCACAGTGCGGCTGGAGGAACGGGATCGGGTGTGGGTTGTGCTGTTGCGGATATTATTAAAAGTGAATTCCCTCGTACGTTATTATTCCATACAGTTATTTGGCCCTTTGCAAGTGGAGAAGTGGTAACGCAATGGTATAATTGTATATTAACAATGAGTGCCTTGCGGGAAACTGCAGATGCGGTGTTTATTGCTCATAATGATGATTTTATAAAGAAAACAATAGTGGGAAGACGGGGAATATTAGGACATGCAGGAACAGAGGAAGTATCGTTTGAGAGTATGAATAAAGATATCACACAGTTATTATTGGATTTACATCTCCCACGGAAAGTATATCGTTTACAACAAACAGATTATCATCATCATCATCATAATAGTA